CTGTAAGGCCAGGGAGGATTGTATGTGTGTGTGTGTATGGGGGGCGGGGACAGATTGTGGGTGGGTGGGGAGGAACTGTAGGGGTGTGGGGAAATGGATCGGGAAGGGGTGGGCCTCCCCACAGCAGCAGCAGCCATCAGAGCACTTAGGGCCAGCTTCTGGCAGAGGTCCCCGGTGGCGTGGCCCAGCTTTAGCCTTTTAACTCAGCCTGGGGCCATGCACCTTTGGGCAGGACTGGGCTGCTCTTGCTGTCACATGGGGCTCCCTGCACCGCATGCGAGAGCTGTACATGTTTGGGCCAGGCTGGGTCCTGCCTCCATGGAGCCGGCCCAACCTGATGGCACATGGGGCACTTGGAGAAAGGACCTGGCTCGGCCTCAGGGCACATGGCTCTTGTCTGTGGTGCCGGGGGCCCCAGCGGCCTGCTCCTGCCCAGATGCGGGGCACCAGAAGACATGACAGCAGTGCTGCACAAAGGCTGACTGAGAAGACATGGTCCACTAGCAGCTGGCCCAGAGGTGCAGGAGGCTTTGCTGCAGTGCCCATAACAGAGCTCAGGCAGCCGTCCAGTCCCAGTCTGGGTCTGGCAGGCATGCAGCTGTGGGGCTGCAGGTCCAAGGGGGTGGATGCTTTCACAGCTGGCAGCAGGTCACAGCCAGACAGAAGCCCCACTGCCAGCCTACTGCAGTGGGTAGAGGGTACAGGGGCCACTTTAGGTCAGGGCTGCTTCAGCAGTCCAGCTGGCAAAAGGGGCTAGTGTCCTCAGATACCAACTGGCTGGGCCTCAGAAGCCCCTGAGAGCAAGTAGCCCTGAGCTTCTCACCAGAGCAGCTTTTTATACTGCTGGGGCCAGCACAGGTAGTGGTTCCAGCCTCTGGCTCCCCCTGGCTGAAGATCTGGGAGGAGTTGGGCAGGGTCAGTTTGCCCCAAGTGGCACAACTTGCCTCATACCAGAGTGCATGTTCAGGCCTATGTGCTGAGGCACAAATCTCCATCCCAAATATGTGCCGCTGCTATCTGAGCTGCTGCAAGTGCACGTGCCTGTACGTTTGGACTCATAGCAGGGGCACCACAGAGACTCTCCCAATGCTAGAGCATCTCTCTGGAGGACTCAGCCTCTGGTTGCCTCAGGGCACAGCACGGGATTGTGCCCTGCGCTGCTTTTATTTGTGTGGGGGGGAGTTAATACCTGGATTTCCAGGTATCAAATTTAGAGCCCATGCTGCAAATATGCAGTGCAGGGAACATTTTTCCATTCCCAGCGTGCCTCTTGCAGTGTCTCAAACTGGTTTGAGATACTGCAACAGGTACACATGCGCTCATCTGGACGCGCCCTTAGTGTCTACCATAGCGTTTGTAGGATTTACATGGAGGTTATTGCTTTAGAGATTTTCTTAACTTTTCTTTTTGAATTTAGTAATACCTGTTATAACTGCCAAACAGAATCCCAACAATGTATTTCATAAGAAAATAAGTATGATTTGATAGGCAAAATGGCAATATTTATAAAATAATTTAGTTAAAGTATTGCATTAAAAATACAAATACTGTTTCAGCTGAAGTTCTTTTTAGAAAACGTCAGTTCAGAAGAAGAGGGCTATAGTTGCCTGACCAAAAGAGTATAATGGAAAATTGGCTCTTTTCTACTCATTTGAATACTTGTCTAATTTCTATTTTTCAACAAACTATTTTTGCACATAGTGTACTGGATCTCATTGGTATTTTTAAAGCCTTTTATCGTCTAAAATGCCATCTTATGTTTATATTTTGTCAGCCTCATTGGGGTCTATTTATGTCTGTCACTGATTGTGTGATCTTGGCAAGTCCTTTTTCTGCCTAAGGATCTAGTCTGTGTATTAAAAAATAAATGGTGATACATTTTGAAAGGCACTGGGTACCTGATCCCCAAAGGATATTAGCTGTTACAGTTGTCAGCTGCAGAACCGTGGCGCTCTGGCTTAATTTGTAGCAGGTTGTGCTTTTAGTTCTTTTGGCCCCTGGTTCAGTCCCTGTTGTGCCATTCGTAAAATGCCATCTGCAAAACACTTTAAAATCCATCACTCAAAATCACCATATATACACAACGAAATATAATTGATTTTAGAAGGTGTGTGCTGGTTAGAAATATAATCAGCACTTGTTAATTACCATGGATAAAAATCCAATTTGGTTAATAGAAGTCCCTTGTACAGAAGAGGATCCAGGGTCATCCTTGCCGTGGCAAGATCTTGGGCGAACTACTGACAATAACATGTCCTGAGCCATGGACCAGGCCTGTTAACATGCTACTAATAGACATGCTTAGCTAGAAGGATACAGGTGAGGTCCCGATGCTTTAGGATTAGAGCAAACTCATTGCATCTCATACTTGTAAGAAAACTTGCTCAGCATATTCTAATAATTTGGCTTTTGTTTGCCTCACATGAGTAGAACTCCCCAGAGTACATTCATGTGTTTGCTGTTTCTTTAGATCTTGGCCTCTTGAAGTACTTCATACAGGAATTACAGTTTGGTTGTTTCTTTTTTTTCCTACTGTTAAGAACCTTATAATTGGTGTAATACATTTAAGAGAACAGACATTTTGGGTATATATGGTTTGTGATACTGGTCTTAAAGGATATACAGCATTGTCTAAGCATAAGTGGTAAGCACAACCACCAAATGTATAAGATGAATTTCTTGGATTTAGAGGTAAAAAAAGTCTAACTATAGATTTTGCTCTGGTCTGCAAAATAAAATTGGTAAAGAGAAATTAGCATTAGTCCTGATCAAAATGAACAAAGCAACCCACATTTAAATTATTTTATATGTTATCTTCTGTAAGCTCCCATTCTGACATAAAGTTACAGGGTATTGGCATAATCTGGATTCAAACACGTAGTAAATGTGCCATGATTTTCTAAACCAAATCAGATTTCACAGTCTCCACTTACTCGTATTTCACTGTGTCCTGCTGAGCTCCCAGAATAGGATGGTGAGGTCTCCATGACATACATTTTTTTTTTAGTTTTGATATTTCATTTTCAATCATAAGCAGTGGTTCTGTGCAGACATATAGCAAACATTTTTTTAATATGCTGGTTAGCTCAGGTGCAGAATGAAGGAGTTCCTTTACAACTAGAAGTCTTAATATTTCTATTTATACTATTAGTGCAGGCTGCAAAGAAGTTATACTCTTACCAACAGAACAAAAACTCTGTAGCGAACTGTGGGAGCTCTGCTATATGTAGTATATTTTAGTATAAGTTTTTAAATGTAAATTTTCCTACATAATTTATGCTGTACAAGGGTATATTTGGTAGCCATGTTGTTCTGAGACAAATAGACATATAAAAATCTAGAACTCTTGGTTCAGAAATGATACCTTTTATCAGACCAACTAGGTCTAAAAAATAAAAGGTATCATTTCTGAACCAAGAATTCTAGATTTTTGCATTTCTTTTGGTCTTAGAACAACACAGCTACCAAATACATCCCTGAAACATGGAAGGTGCTGAATTTAAATCGATTTTGGATTTTAAACTTCATTGCAGAATGACAAGAAAGATTTTTAAACCTCCCTGCTTGCCATCTGACACTCCAGGGAAGGAATCCTACCTGATCTATACAACAAAGAGCAACTCAGAGCAGCTCACAGAGATGCTCTCATGGACCCAGAGGGACAGATTTTCCATCTCCAACTCCCTCTGTGCAAACAGGAAGTTTATTTCCTACCTATGGGGACTTTTAAGCATCTCTAATTTTCCCAGAGCCTGATGAAGGGTGTTTGATGATTTTTTCTGCAAGCTTTGGGGCTCAAAGTGCCCCAAGGGATAACAAGGACCAATGGTCACAGACTCCTCCGTGACCTTTTTAGGCTGGACATAAGGAAAAACTTCTTTCCTGTCCGAGCCCCCAAGGCCTGGAATAGACTCCCTCCAGAAGTGGTGCAAGGACCTACTCTGGACTCTTTCAAGAAACATTTGGATGCTTATCTTGCTGGGATCCTTTGACCCTAGCTGACTTTCTGCCCTTGGGGTAGAGGGTTGGACTTGATGATCTTCAAGGTCCTTTCCAGCCCTAATGTCTATGAAATCTATGAAATATGAAATCTATGAAAAAGATATTTTTTTTGCAATTTCCTAGTTGGTCTAATAAAAGGTATCATTTCTGAACCAAGAGCTCTAGATTTTTGCTGTACAACACATTTATGAGAGAGAAGTACATTTTGTATTTGGTCCTTATTCTGCTGTTTTAATTCAGAAGAAGAGAAGTAGTAATAGAAATAATCATTCAAACAAACACCAAAACATACTTACCCATTTTGTTATTTCTATTCTTGATAATTGCAAATAGGTTCTCAACAGTGCTGTATCTGCTGAATTCTAGCTACTTTCTTCTTTCTGCCAGTTTTCTAAGTCCTTGCTCTACCATTTCTCTGTCAGGTCAGGGATCTCTTTTCTAATTCATGTCAAACAAGCGTTGCTTTCAAAAGTTTCCTGAAAGGGGGTAGCCCTGACAGAAGTAAATGTACACCTTATTAAAGGGACCAAGCTTATGAACACGCTATTTTTCTTTCCTCTGAAAGCTACAACTTGCACAATGCCTTATTACATTTAACTACTGTTAACAGCATTGTGAGTTCCTTTGCCCACAATTCTTGTAGTACAAACTGTTCCTGGCACCTTATATATTTGTGGATATAAATTTATTACCCTGAATATGTAGGTATTACATTTTACTTTTGTAACAGCATTTTAAAGCTAATATCTTCCATTGATATTATAATTATGAAAGAAAAAAAGCATGTTTTCTTTTTGTATGGCATGACCATGATCCTACTGATACAGGGAACAGCTGACTAATTTCCTTCCAGGTGCTTTCACTTTTCTTAAACTTCAAGCAAAACTTCACCAGACTGAAATAAAGCTATTGGGAGTAGTGAGGAATCTCAGGCTCTCTGGTTTGCATACATGGCACATCTTACGCAAACAAATGAAGCCTAAGATTATTATGATGTTTGGAGAATTCCTGATAAGTTTTAAGCTGGTATTCTTACAAATGAGTGCTATACATTTCTGTACTGTACAAGAATATATTCTTGGGCAAGGAGATTATCAGCAATGTGTGAAGTCGAAGTCAAATCCTGCTTTTGTTATTAATGAGGAAGATAAAAGATTATCTTAGCTGAATCTGTTTCTAAAGCTTCTGGTAAGTTTGTTTATATTTACTTTTTCTTATTTAGCTAAATTCCAAAATGTTACTAACAGAAGGAATTGCATGTGATCATTGAACAAGTAATTCGTTCTTATGGATTAGATACTAGCAAATAGATTAAAAATGGTGACATTATATTATACTCTTTAGTAAAAGCAGTGGCATCATTAAATTTTATATACTACCACTACTGGTAATACATAGATGGTTTTAGGGGGTATCTTGAGACCAGGTTTCTCTTCTTTGTTTAAACTGCTTCATTGTGAATGTCAGGAAGATCATAAAGCTTAACACCTGCTCTTGTTTGATAACTTTTAATTAGAAGCAGCTGTTTGGTAGTCAGCTTAATTATACTGCTTAGTTTTGGTGTTAGCAGTATATAGAGCAAGCTACAGTATGGTTTGGACATGGCTCCTTTTTAAAGTGTGGTACTTACTGCCTCTTAGCTAGTCTTCTGGCAAGACATCCTGCTACTGGGTAATGTACAGAAGTGTCCTTCTGAAACTAGAAAAAAAAGATGTATTGCTTTTGACAGGAGCATGTGCTTGTAAGATGTTTTAGATGTTTTTAAGGTCATAGATTAAACTGTGGTTTTGATGAGCTGTAGGTCTAATTACTATGCTAAATGAAAAGTAGATGATAGTGTTTTATATGAACACATCTGTTAAGAGGGGATTCCAGAAAAAATAATTTTGGAGTACAGCTTCGAATTATGTCAAGGCTTCATGTTGTATACTGTAGCATTCTTACAGCTAAAGAGAAAGTTGTGTCCCAGTCTTCAAGGATTTATACTATAGCTCAGAAACTAAAGTTTTAAAACAAAATTCAGGGGGAGACTGGCTATTATATCTTCTAGAGAAGGTGGCATTTTAGTGGAATGAAAAGTTTGAAGAAAACATGGTATGAAAGAACAGGAGTGAAAATATTTGTTTAGGGTTTTCAGAATTATAATTCTTTATTTTTATTTAATAGAGAGAGAGACAATAAGGATTAAACTTTTTTTTTCTAACCTGTTACCAAATAATTCACTCCACAGAGGATGCTGTGCAGTGCATTGCTTATTCAGCTCTGATCTTACAAAGGCTTACAGATGCCTAACTCTAAGGGGCTTGTAAGTAGTTGATGGAATTGCTTAGTACTGGATTTGTAAAGTATTTCGGTGTCTTTCCTCTTGAAATCAATGTTTGCTAAATGCCTTTTAAGATTCTGGCATTCAGTTTAGGAAAACCTTTGCAGGATTAGTGTGTAATATTGGCCTTGTTTTATACTTTTCTTTTAAAAAGTTATTTATCACAAAAAAAGTTCTTAACATCTTTATTGCTTATAGAAAATAGCCTTATTTTTTCTTCTTTCAGCTGAAGTCAGCGAAAGAGTTGCTATAGGCTATAGTGGGAACACAATTAGACCTGCAGGCCTTTTTCAATCAAAACTTAAATATGAACATGGCTTCACTCAGATCAATAGTTCTAATAGACTTTACATAAGGAAAGGTGAGTATGTGCTTGAGTACTTGTAGGATGGGGGCTTCAATAACTAGGTCAAATTCTCTTCTCCATTATAGCTCAAACCCACTGTTAAAAGTGGGACTTTATTAGCGTAAATGAGAGAAACATAAGTTATTGTCAGAGTTGAATATCCTTCCTTTCTTGGAGAAAACAAACAAAATGCCTTTGGACTCCATTCTGTTTAGTTTCTGAGAATATATATGAGGTCTATATAAACCTATGTTCTCATGTACGTTAAGTGTCAGGCTTATAATATATGAAAATTATGGGTGAATAGAGGTGGTGTATAGGATTGGGGTTGTAGTTGCTCAAGATATACTCCTTCACTTCCTCCTCAATCTTTTTGTGTGTGTGTAAGCTCCATGTTATGGCTTTTGGTCAAGCTCTGTATTTTGGGTAGGAAGCTCTTTTGTCCAGAAAACTGTCAAACAACCAAGCAAAATCCGTTCTTTGGATAAAAAACAAATGAACCATGATTGGCCAGTTCAGCAATAAAATCATCCCACTTATGCATAAAGGGAGAACAGATAACTTTATAATAATTGAGTGTATTCTCGATCTTGCTCTGTTCATATAATATAGACAAATATTTTTGTCACTAGGTGGCACTCTTGAATGAGGATTGTCTTTTATTCCCTGGCTGGTTTCTCATTCACAAACAATCCTTCCTAATTTGTTATTTTCACTGGTTCTTTTATAATGCTGTAATAAAATAAAGCAGAGGGGAAGACCTTTATTTTAAATTGATAATGGGGGATATTTATTTATTTATTTATTTATTTGTTTATTTTAGAGCTTTGTAACAGACTTTTAAGTAAATCCAGTTTTGAACAGTCACAAGAGAGAAATGATGTGAAAATTGTAAAAACACAGAAAATATTGTTTAGCTTGAGCAATTTACCAAGCTACCTTTGCTTCTAGTGTTCTGAGCAATAAAGGAGCAGTACAAATTAGGATTTTTTTGGTTGTGTTTTGGGTGTTGTTTTTGTATTTTGGACTAGATAGTCATTTCACTTAAGTACTTTACTACAGTCTGTCTTGGATTTGATATATTCGGTAGTCTTCACTCACTAAACTGTTCTGTTAGCAGTTAACATGTTGCACCCCATAAGAAACTGTTTCAGCCATGTTCATGGATGTACTGTGTTTTGAAGTTTTCTGCACTGGCCAATTCCAATTACAGAATCCAGCTATAGAAAAAGCAAAACTGGGTCCATTGGACCATGAGGAGGAAGACGTGGCTCCCTTTTAAAATGTAGTACTTCAAAGGTATCATTCTGGAACCAAGAGCTCTACTTTTTTGTATGTCTTCTTGTCTCAGACCAACACAGCTACCAAGTACACTCCTGATTCTTTGATTAGACCAACTGGGAAATCGCAAGAAACTTGTTTTGCAATTTTGCAGTTGGTCTAATAAAAGGTATCATTTTGGAACCAAGAGTTCTAGTTTTTTGATATGTCTTTTAAGAAACTACTACATCCTCAAAGCTGAAGATGAAGGAAAATAAGTGAACTGAGAAAAGCTGATGAAAGAGGGAATACAACACGATACTGAGATGTTGCTTTGCATCCATATTGCACAAGATTTGCCTTTTGCCCAATATTGAAGCCTTACATAGTATTTTTCAGAGACCTATTTAGACTGTCGGGGAAGGAGTTATATAGATGAAGTTTCCTTGCAATCAGCCTGACCTGGATTAAGCCTCGTAAAGGAGAGCAGAGGACCTTGGCAAACTCGATTGCCTTGGAGGAATATAGGAGAAAGACAGTCACTTCTGTACTTCAGGCCCAGATTACTAAGATCTTTATATACCATAGAGAAACCTTGAACTGAATGATTTCTGTCCTGAAATCAGTGTGGAAAATGGATAATGGTTATTATTGATTCTATTACAAATAGGTAGCAAAGGGGAGCTTTTGTTGAAGAAACATTGCCATTTGTGGCTAAAATGTCAGAAGATGGAGGGTTTAAGTACTTAATTCTCTCTTCTGCTTTGCATTGCAGAAGATAGAAGAAAGTAGTTTAAAAATGTTAGAAAGACTCTGTTGTAGTAGTAAGATTGCCTACCTTGCAGGCTCCTGCAGACCTCTGAACTTGTAGGAGGTTCTTGAGCTGCAGTGTGGCTGGGACTTGAGATGGTGGAAAATATTGGATCAAGAGGGAATTGTGGGCCTTCATGCTGCCTGATTTCACAGCATCCCTCACAAACTAGATAGATTTCCAAGTGGCATTAATTCTGCTTACAAGTTTTCTGCCCTGAAGAGTAGGAGAGTAAAGTGCAACTGTGTGGGAGGAGCCAAAGGAGCACATACTATAACCTCTAGTTTGGAAGGCATTTTGGATCATTCACAAGAATTGGTTTCTTTTACAGTGATTATGTGTGGTTTTCATTCTTTTAAATAAATACCTGGCAGAAGATGCTGGGGCTATCTATGTACCCTTACATTAATTTAAGAATTGTTTGTTTGTAAAAAGTAATTTTCCCCACATTATTCTATCTGGTTGGTTTTGAAAGTCTAACACAGGGCTGCCCAGCTTGCAGGTTAACATATAGCTCCCACTGCTCTGGCTGCTGCTGTTGCCCCCAGGGTTTCCAGGGTCCCCCTCCCTCCTCTGTTTTCTGCTTTCTGCCCTGACCCTTGGTGGTGGGCTGGGTGGAGTGGTATGTGAGTCCCAGGGAGTCTGTAGAGTCCCTGCACAATGGAGGGAGTGTGCGCGTGCTGAATGGATGTGGAAGAAAGACTGGCAATGCAGTGGGGGTCGTGATCCATACAGTGTGTGGCCCCTGGCCATTCTGAAGTTGGACAGCCCTGATCTAACACATGCTTGTATCTCATTTTTCAATATAGCCTTTTCCCCCTATGGAATTTAAGATTACTTTTCTGAGGGGGGTTGTTAACAACAACGAACAAAGTGGCCTTGCTTTTGTAAAAGTACAAGTTCTGCTATAAATCACAGAAGCAGCTTTTGCCCTCCTTTTAGTCTAAAAATTAATAAACTAATCAAAATAATATCACACTAATGGCACAGCATTATGTAAAATGTATCCAAAATATGGGTGCAGGATTTTGTGATGCAGCACCAGAACAGGATATATTGTTATAAGGTAGTAAAAAACCTGCAGATACATGAACCAGGTGAGAATAAAAATGCCAATTTCTCTCTTGGTTTGCAATACTGAGACTTTTTTGGCCTGATTTACTACATATTCAAATATGTTTGGCAATGTTTCTAAAAACACTGTTTTACTATACTTAGCCTCTACAGTACTGGACTATGTCTTTAATACAGGAAGCCCCTCTGGGATTCTGTAATGTGCTAAAAAAGATCGTGTCTTAAACTCCTGAAAATAAATAACATAAAACTGCTCTGAATAAATATGAGTTAAGCAAACAGAAACCTGTATTGTGTGTTTGTATTCTGTATGCACAGTGTGGTTTTTATTTGTGTGCACCTACTCACACATGCATTTTAACTTTTTTCTGTAT